AAAAGAATTTCAAATTTTGATTTGTCGGACCACAGGACACTTTTCCACTTCCACTCAGTTCATTTTAAATGAGCTCGGGCCCAGAGAAGGCAACGGCATTTCTGGATCCTGTTGATACAGGGAGATTCACTTAAAAGAGGCCCCGAATATTCTATTGTAACTCCCGTTAGGAAGAAGCAATCTAAACCGAAAATGGGCTACATACCTGCGATACTGGAAGTGTTCTCCGTTTTTTGCCAGACACATAAAGAGGTACGGGGGTATGCACTCAGAAGTTGCAAATGAAGGTTAAACGTTGCGACGGCTGTCCGGTGCCTACCTCATCGCTCTGACGCAGGGGCATCCCAGCTTGTTCGAAACTCCATATACTGAGGAGCACATTGCACATTGTTTTGTTCAGATTGTTTCGTCATAGCGAGAGTTATTACAGAATATTTGGGGCCTCTTTCAAGTCAATCTCCCTGTATATGGTTTCTTCTTTGCATTTTAGAGTTTTAACTTGCATTTGTGGATGCAGCGATGAACTGTTTTCACAGACAGTGGTTTTCAGAAGTGTTTCTGAGCTCATGCAGTGATTTCCACTAGAGAATCGTGTCTGCATTTAATGCAGTGCCGCCTGAGGGCCCAAAGATGCTCTTTTTATACTCAGTCATGTTACTGACCTGTTGCCAATCAACCACCAGGTGTTTTTTTTAGCATTACACAACTTTACCAGCCTTTTGTTGCCCCCGTCCCAACTTTTTTGGAACGTGCTATTGGCATCAAATTCAAAATGGGCATATATTTTTCATAAAACAATAAAATTTCACAGTTTCAACATTTGATTTGTTGTCTTCGTACTATTTTCAAAGAAACATAGGGTTTAAATGATCTACACATCATTGCATTTTGTTTTATTTACATTTTGCACAGCGTCCCAACTTTTTTGGAAATGGGGTTGTAGTTGTAGGCCTACAAGAGAATTCATCGAATATGATGAATGTGATCAAATACTAATGTATTTGACTTGAAACAGTTATCTGCAGAGCATGTCTCAGTGCACAAATTAACACCATCTAGATTTAACTCCAGTTTTCTAGTAAGACGGTTTGTTAGCTCTTTATAAAAGCAGGGTCTTCAAACAACACAACAACACTGACCCCTTCTGGTGAGTTCAGCAATTACAGAAGTTCAGTTTGAAATGCAGTTAAACCTTAAAAATAAAGCTACTTCAGCTCCAGAGCACACTTCAAACTGGAATGTGAGGACTGATGCTTTTTTATTGCACAAGAGAAGGTGAACAAATATGATTTATTGAATGAATTTGACTTCAAACAATTATCCACAAGACATATCTTAGTTCACAAATTAACAATGTCTAGGCTTAACCTAAGTTTTCTTGTAAAATGGTTTGTTAGCTCATTGTGAAAAGCAGGGTCATCAAACAGAATAACAACACTGACCCCTTCTGGTGAGTTTAGCAATTACAGAAGATCAGTTTGAAATGCAAAAGGCCTTCAAAGCTCAAGCGTCCTGGTTCATCTTATTTATGAGGCTGTTTGATCCTTACATATATTTGGTCCATCTCATGTAGAGATCTAGTTTGGGTGTAGTTCCTCAGGCTACAATTTCAGGGTAATTCATTTGATTGATTGCATAAATGCCAACCTTAGAGGGGAAACGTGCTGAAAAAACAATAATGATGCTGGTCTAGTGCTGGTCTGGTCCTGGTTTAGCCAGTCACCCAGCATGGTCATGCTGGTTGACCAGCATACCAGCATCAACTCACAACATATGCTGGTTTTGCTGTTTTTTCTAGCAGGGAATTGTACCGATTTTTCCAAATTTCTTCATAATTCAGCAGTTCAGATGTAAATAAAGTGGCTTGATGTGAGCTGTAAACCTACCAACTCAGATTGTTGTACAGTGGTGGTGATAGGAACCAGGGCTTGCAATGTCTACAAAACAAATCTAGCCAATTTATTTACCATCCAAAATCCAAAGTCCAGTAAACCCATATGTGACTCATGAGTTTTTATATGTAGTGTTGATGAAGGTAAAATTATGCATTAGTTATGCATTAGTCCTGCTTCTACCTCTCTGCTATGACTACCAACTACCAAATATGTTTTAGACAAAGATCTTCTAAAACTGTCATAAAACAACGTCTCAGGCATCAGGTAGTGTACGTCATGTAATTACATACTTTGATGTTGTTTTTATAGGAATTAAGCCCGTCTGGTTTCCAATGGAGCATTTCACAGCAAACCACTCTGAATGACTTTATTTACATCTTAACCATTTAAATATGCATTTTTTTTTAAAAAAACTTGGAATTCCCCTTTACATATAAGTATTGCTGTTGTTATTAATGTAAGCATATAGTGTTAAGGATATGATAAATTGATACTAAAATAAACTCACAATCATGAAGCTTTCATAATCATCAAATTCACAAATGTACTGCAGGAATATTTACTGAGTCACTGTATTTCCACTCTAAAAGACCTGTAATAATACAATAGGAAACTATTAGAGTCAGTGTTGTATACTTCTGTAATAATCTATAATATTTTCACCTCTGTATAATATTTGTGCAGTATCCTTTAGTCAACTATTGTGATTGTCCCAATTTACTATTATATTCTGTAGAAACTATAGAACTGTAGGAATCCTGTAGAAATAATCTGTCCTGTATTAATGTTATTTTTCTTCAAGTTTTCCTTAAATGTTTTTGATTTTTTAAATATGAAAAGACAGTCACTGTGTATAATATAAAAGAATAATAATATATCTATTACATATCTGAAATATATCTAATATATCATTGTATGCAAAAGTTTGGGCGCTCTAGCCAAATGACATGTTCTGTTGACTTGTGAAAATAAGTACACGTCCTCCACAGAGACCACACTTCTGCATATTGTAATGCACAGTTATTGTTTATTTGCTGAATTTAACAAAGTCATGTGAAGTCACAGACAGTAGCTCATCTGTTGTTGCAGTTTGTATTGGTTCACAGGACGCTGTTGGCTGGATATTTTAGTTGGTGGACTATTCTCAGCCTGTTTTGAACTTGTTGTTTTTGCGAAAGGCAGAAATGCAGTGTGTTCTCTAGTCTCCGTCAGCCCTATTCTCCATTTCTACTGAACAGAGAAGCAGTGATACAACACACTCCATCTGGGTCAGTCAAGACATTGCCAGTCTTTTAGCAAGTATGTTTGAAGCTGGTCTACGTTTTACACATCTAACTAAACTGAAGTAGCTGCAGATTTGGGCCGTATCAGCTAGTGCATTTAACCTGCATTAATGGGCGTGCTTATCCGTTTAAACCTCATCACGTATGTACATCAGAGTTTCAGCTCAGAGGGCAGTGGGCATTTAGCTTACTCCTGATTGGCGGAATGGGAGGTGTTCCAGTTTGCCCTGTGTAACAACTCCTGATCTCACCTGTTATAATCATATATATGCAGTATATATTTATACACAAGTTTAAAATGAGTGTTTTTGGGCAAGCTGTCCTGAACATCCAGCAGTGCTTTCAGGCTTCAGGACACATTGTTTAACCCAGTGGTCACCAACTGTCATCTTCCTCCTGGAGGTTTCACTTTCAAGCCACAGCAAACACACCTTCTTCAGCTGACCAAAGAGGCATCTGCAAGCAGTAATTAGATGGATCAGGTGGGGTCTATTAGGGTTGGAGCTCAAGTCTGCGGGAAGGTAGATCTTCAGGAGCAGGGTTGGTGACCACTGGAGTAACCAGTAACCGACCAGACGAGGGCGCATTGCAACCTTGAGAGAGAGCGAGAGAGAGAGGAAAAGAGATAGAGGGGGGTGGTACGGTGATTTCTCCTCTTATGTAATGTATACTCCTTTTTGCATGACCGAGAAGACGGGAAGAAAAGACATAACTATGTTACGTGTTTATTAATTTCTCTGGATGTAATTTATTCTCCTGCGCTTCTACGCTGCTCCGCTCTGGCGCTCTGCTGGTTTCTCAGAGTGTTTGTATGTGTCAGAGAGAGAGAGAGAGAGAGAGAGAGAGAGAGAGAGAGAGAGAGAGAGAGAGAGAGAGAGAGAGAGAGAGAGAGAGAGAGAGAGAGAGAGAGAGAGAGAGAGAGAGAGAGAGAGAGCTCTTTGTGTCTCTCGGGGTTTTCAGGTTCTGGCTCCTCTTGCGTACAAAGTGACGCACTGTGTGAATAATGAGAGACTGACTGACTGACTGGAGGCTTTTCTCACTGTAGCTGCAGACAAAATACTCTATTATTATCACTGAGACACAGGTGAGACTGCCACACGAGTCGAATAAACCTTAGAATCAACATAATAATAATAATAATAATAATAATAATAATAATAATTATTATTATTATTATTTTTGTTTTTTATTGCTGCAATTCTCAAAAATAACATCAATATTTAACAAATTAAGCACGTTCTCTATACGCCACACTGATGCCTCAAAAACGACTGTAAACAATAATAATCTGTAATGACGTAATAAGCTTTATTTGTATAACACCTTTTTAAAATGTGATTAAAAATAAAATAATAAACGACGTTAAAAATACAAATACAATGGAAAAATAGTCATAAATAAATGTTAAATTAAAATGATACAGACATACAGGACACGTAGGATGTGTATTTAATATATTAGCTAAAAGCGCTCTGTGAACACGGTAACCCCGCTGTGTACATCAGACTGTGTCCGATTATCAGGAGTGATTTGACCTTAAAAACGCCGCAGTTTGTGTGAATCTATATTTAGGTGAGCTGCACGCGCCCGCTCCGTTCATCTTTTCCTCCGTCAGCCTGAATGAGGAGCTGCGCCGCGCGGCGCTGTCACGTGACCGAGCCCCGCTGACGCACGTCGCGAGGACTCCCGCTGGCCCCGCCCCTCAAAGCCTCACGTGACCGCCCCGCTCGCCCCGCCCCCAGCGGGTGGGTGTGTTCTCGGTCGCCGAGTTTCATTCATAACTCCGTTTCTCCGGTTTTCGGGGCTGGAAATGAAACGGCGCGGCGCGAGAGCGGGACGGAGCGCGTGAAGCGGAACTGGGTGAGTGACCCTCCCCTCAGAGTCTCGCGCTTTAGCCCATTCTTTAAATCTTTTGTTTTTTTTTTAAATTTTGTCTCTTTTTTTTGACCCATTTCTATTTTAATTTTTTATTTCAGGAATTTATTTTTGTTTTACATTTAATCTTTCAGAGCATTTTTATTTTTTTTCCAGCGCGGCTTTTTAACTCAGCCTTTATCTGTGTGTGTATAAAAGCTGCTGAAATCCTCTGCGCGGGTTTGCTAATGAAAGCTGCACTGAAGCTGAAATAGCAAAAAGGCATGTTTGCGTTTCGCCTGTGCAGCGTTAAAGACCCCCAACACGCTCGTGAAGCTCAGTGATGCTGCACATGATGCTGAAAAACGCACCCGCAGTCTATAATACTCATAATAACGACTGTAATAATCGCGCTAAAGCAGCTGCCGACGGTGTCCATGCTGCTGTTGGTGATCGTGCAGGGCGGCAGGATCTAGACTGCCATGGCGGTGTGTGTGTGTGTGTGTGCTCGTCGTGCATCCCTCTCGTTGCAAAACGCTTCGCCCCCGGACCGTGATGGCGGGGTTTGGGTTAAATCTCATCCCAAATACAGCCGCCTCCAGGACGGCGCGTGTGTGCTGACATTTCGGTGCGTTTCTTTACAGCACAAATGCTGCAGGGTTGCCAGATGTTGAAGGATAGTTCCAGCTGGCTGCGAGTGAAGCAGGAGAGAAGGTGATTAGAAAGAGTAGAACAAAAGAGGCTTGTGTGAGTCTGTAAGATCAGTAAAGCACTTTTTTCTGAGCTCTTAAGGCTATTTTATAGATGCAAATGCCGTCCATGCCAAAGCAAAGCTTGATAAAGTGCAGGTGAATGATTGGAAGTACTGCAATTAGAAAAGTTGTTCTTAGTAGTGAATCGTGTAAAACAGTGGCTTTATCACTGAGAGCCAGGACCATGAATTAGTGATCTGATCTGACCCGTGAGGAAGTTCTCTCCGGCCCCTGTATAAGCACATACATCGATCAGCGATAACATTAAAACCACATCCTTGTTTCTACACTCACTGTCCATTTTGTCACACCATCATGTGTCTGATCCACTCATACCAGCACACACTAACACAACACGCCACCACCACGTCAGTGTCACTGCAGTGCTGAGAATGATCCACCACCCAAATAATACCTGCTCTGTGGGGGTCCTGACCATTTAAGAACAGAGTGAAAAGGGGTCAACAAAGTATGCAGAGAAACAGATGTACTACCGTCTCTGACTGAAGAGCTATAATATGCACCTATATAGTAAGTGGAGCTGATATAATGGACAATGAGCGTAGAAACAAGGTGGTGGTTTAACGTTATGGCTGATTGGTGTTTATGGGATATTGTAGCATGAATGTTCTTTTTTCATGAGACAGCAGGAATACATGAACCATGCTTGATAGCGACTGTGTCCTTTTTTAAATAGCAGCTGTTTTGTTGAAGATCATACAGGCAAATGACATAATAAAGATATTTTTAGTCCATTCTCTACTGAATATCAGCATCTAATTACCTTTCCTCATTGTGACCTTCGCAAAGATAATGCCAATTACCGCTGGTGCTTCTTTGGGATTTGCAATGTTATGATAGCACCAAGCTAACTGCGGTTTATAATTGCTCTTCCATTGGGCTTAATACCAGTAGCAACTCTACTTTAGACAACTGGGAATCTGTTGAGAGCAGCCTCATTGTCATTTGTTATGATGTAAATGAGTATGCAGTTGGATGAGAGTGCTAAGAGTTTAGAATATGTAGGGCGAGTGTCTGATAAAGTGTTTGGGGCTGACCCAAAAAGTATTTGATGGCCTGTAAGACCCAAAAAGTATTTGATGGTCTCTGATTTAAGGCCTGTATTACCTAAAACATTGTCAGGTGTTACCTAACCCACTGTACCGTGTTACCTGAATCCACTATATGTGGGTAGTGTGAGCCTTAAAGCTGTACTCCCACGATAACCTAGTCTCTATGTACCACATCTGTAGCATACAGTCAGTTACCAAAGACAATCATTTTCCCATACAGAAAAGAGAACAGAAAACCAATTGACGTAAAGCAAACTTATAATAGAAGCCAATGGGAAGATGCTGATGCACACTTATAATAGTAGCCAATGGGAAGGCGTTCCCACAGTTCCTAATACACTGTCTTATAGTACCAAAACACTGTCCCATAATACCCAACACACTATCCTGTATTAACTGAATCCAGCATATGTGAATAGTGTGTTGGGTATTATGGGACAGTGTTTTGGTACTATAAGACAGTGTATTAGGACATATGGGAACGCCTTCCCATTGGCTTCTATTGTAAGTGTGCATCAGCATCTTCCCATTGGCTTCTCTTATGTGCAACACACTATCCTGTATTAACTGAACCCAGCATATGTGACTTGTGGAGTAACAGCACCCCCAGTTTGAAAGATGAAAAAAAGATTATATTAGCTTATTGAGTTTGTGTGTTTTACAGCATCTCACACAACTAATCTTGTTCAACACAGAGCCAGGTGGGCGTGGCCATTAGAGCTCATAACATTAAAAGGCTGATTTGCATATTGGGACATACATGGGTTCTCCAGGACTAATTTACGTCACCTGAGCAGAGTTACACCAGAGGGGACGCTGCAGAGGCTGAACAGTAATGATGTAATTTTGACATTCTGACAGGCTTTAGAGAGCAATTACTGTTTAAAGGAATGTTTATCTACGTTATAGCATATAGTCATTTACCAAAGACTATAATTTCCCCAGAACATAAAATCCATTCACTAAAAAACAAACCTATAACAAAAGCCAATGGGAAGATGCTGAAAGTGCGCTTTTTATAGAAGCCAGTGGGAAGGTGTTTCAGCATGTTTCCTCTGGCGTCTACTATATATATGTTTTGAATAAATGAGTGCTGAGAACAGGGGAACAGTTTAAATGACTGTATATGTTAACTGATCAGATGCTACAGATACCTCCCTGATTGGTGGATGTGTGATCCTTAGTCTAGCATCTGTTTTCAAAATGGAGTGCCGGCACTGAGATCATTGAGAGCACCAAGTTCATTTAGCGGAGATGAAGAGAGGTAAAGTACCTAGCTAACTCTCCTCCGGTCCTGAAGCATGGTTACATAAACACACTCCCACCAGCCTTAACCATCCATACTCCTCCCACCTGCTGCCAAGGCCAAAAACCCATCTCCACGCAGGATAATACACACCTCCTGTTTTCTGCTTCAAACGCACTGTACCTCAGGCCTTCTTGAAAAACAGCAAAAGACGGTGTGTGTTAGAGAGTGTGTGCGCATGTGTGTGTGTGTGTGTGTGTATGTATGGAGGTGCTTTTCTGAGCTGTTGAGTTTTTTTTTCTTCCTCATGAATACACAATGGCCAGGAACAGGCCCGGCTCAGTGCAGAGCCGGCTGTATATTGCACATGCTCGGGAGCCATTACGGCAGGGCTTAATGGAGATAGTATGCATGGGGGCGAGTACAGGGACATGTTAATGCCTGTTAATGAGCCGGGCTGTAAATGACCTGGATGTGTGAAGTAAATTCCAAGTGGAGAGGTTCTCAACCTCTTTAACTTCACAGATGTCCACATCCTAAAGTAGCAGTTACATCAGACTGATGGAAAATGTTTTAAACTCAATACATTTTGTTCTATGTACATTTCCCTCTGAAAGTCACTGGATCCTTTGAATTACGAGGTTGTTAAGGAGCCGAATACTGCTACATGCAAGCTAACTCTGCAGCACACTGAATTAACAACCTCACCAAAATTTCTCTTCATAAACCAGTGAGCTTGGTTAAATGTGATGGCTGAGCTGCTTTAGAAGTAATAGCCTAAAGTTTGAGTAGCTGATGTTGTTACAGACTAGTGTTAATTACTTTCATTCAATGGCATTTCAGTGCGCAGGAATGTTAGCTTGTAGCATGGATGTAGCAGTCCAGTGTGAATCTTTTTAGTGACCTCATAATTCAGAGGATCCACACAGTAAAATGTTACAGTTGCGCTCGTATTTATAAGTGTATTACACTTTGCCGCTCTGAAACACAAGTGAGCGTGTTGTAAACGACGCATTGTAAGGCAGTGGCTTTTTTGCTAACTAGGCTAGCTACCTCAGCTGAGGTTAGCTAGGTCCAGTGGAAATATTTCTCTGCAAACTAGCATGTTAGCATGTCGTCCAGTGAGAAGAATGTACCAAGTGTAAGACGTCAAGTCCTCATCAGCCTCCAGTGTTGTACTAGTTAGCTGTAGTTTTAGCTCACATCTGAAGAGGTAGCCTCCATTACTCATCCAACATTCAGATGCTATTTTTGGATAATACAACATGTTTTGAATTGTATACCTCTGCTAGCTTCTAAATTATTGTGCTACTGATTTTGTAGACTCTTAACACCAATGCTATCAAATAAAAGCGCAAGCCTCTAGATCCAGTCTTACATTATTTTTGGCTTAGGTACCTTTTATTTTGGCCATTTTTGCCCCCCCTGCAGTTCACAGGATACCATTCAGTAACTCTTGTAGCTACTTGAATATCAAAATGAGTCTGTTACCTTAAACTGTTACAATTAGCAGCTTTTCCATTTGGTATTTTTTTAGAAGGAAGGGACATGCTAACATAGCAGTGATACCACACTTTTGCTTTGCTATTTTCTTTGCTGGGGTGAAGCAAAAATCAGATGATTGTGGGCTCTCATCGATGGGATGTGGTTTTGGAAGTAACACAGTGGTTCAGGGAACAGTTAAAAGAACAATATGTAATATATTTAGCATACTAAATCATAAATTGACTTAATCTCTGATGATATGTCATCAGAGATTAAGGAAACATGCTAAGTTAAAGAACTCGCTTCTCCAACAACAGTGCTACAGCTAGTATGTTCCCCTTTGAAATTTCTGTGGAAATTCTGCTGGTGTTTTGGTCTGCGATTCCACCCACTGTCCATTTACCAGTACCATTTCGACACCCTAGGTTGCCAGATATGAAACAAATTGGC